CCGGGAAGACTTCTTTTCCAACATTGTGTGGCCACCGAAGTTCCATTCCAGTGAGGAGGGGGGCAGTCAGAGTCATGGCCCTCTCTTACGTCCCCATTCCTGACACTTCGGCGTCAGCAGTGATCCGGTGGCCAGGGGGGCGTGCCGAGCCTCAGAAACAGACTCCGTTCCCAGTGTGGTGCGGAGGCCACGTCAACACAGGCCCCACCCCACCCTTCCCAGGGCAGGTGAGGCCCTCTTCACCCTGGCGGTCTCAGGCTGGCCATGACACCTGGGTGTTAGGGTGCCGGTTGGATGAAAGAGCCCCAGAGGCTCCCCATGCCCCAGTCCCGTCTCGGGCCACAGGGGGCCTGGCAGTCTGCAGCACAAGTCCTCTCTGGAGGCAGCTGGATCGTTGGCACAGGGGTGCCAAGAGGCACAAGGGATCAAAAAACATTGGTGCTAAACCAACCTGTGTCCATGACATTGTCCTGTTGCTGAATAGCGATACAACCTAGGGCAGATTACTTACCCACTTTGGCCTCCATTTCCTTGTTAGTAAATTGAGGCATTTCCTAAAATGTGTGTGGTGCTAGGATATGGAGCTTGTTTACCATTTCTGTCAACTCTGCTCCCTGTCAGGACCTGATAAATTGCCCTAAGGGAACCAGCAGTCCAAGAGGAGACTCTTGGACCACTGGTGGGAAGAGGCACCGAGTCCAGAGGTTCTCCATCCCGCCAGGCCTCTGCCACACTGGGCCTGCTTGGTGGCCAGGGAAAAGCATGCCTTTTCCCTGCCCTCCCTGAAACCTCCGGGGAACGCCAGGAACGTAGGTTTTGACCTTTAGACCAATCAAAAAACCCATCAAATAATCAGTGCATGGCAACTTTCCCCAGGGAAGCTGGCAACTGTTGATTTCTAGTTGCTCCTACCCGCATCTATCTAAGACTGCAGCCAGGTAGTTTAATAAATAAAAACATCAGAGGGACCTCATCACACTAAAAAGTTTTTGCACAGCATCCCTTACAGGTGTGGCTCAGTGATTTGTGCGTTGCCCTACAAAGCGGAAAGTCTCCGGGCTCATGCCTGAGCTGCGGGTTTGATCCCTGGTTAGGGTGCGTACGAGAGGCAACAAATTGATGTTTCTCTCACATCAATGTTTCTCTCCCTCTCTTTCTCCCGCTCTTCCCCTCTCTCTAAAAATAAACTCTTTTCTAAAAAAGTAAAAAAAAAAGTTTTATACAGCCAGGAAACCATCAACAAAATGAAAAGACAACCTACTGAATGGGAGAAGATATTCACCAATGATCCATCCTCTAAGGGGTTAATATCCAAAATGTATAAAGAACTCAGACAACTCAAAACCAAAAAGGCAAACAATCCAATTAAAAAAGTGGGCAGAGGACCTGAATAGACACTTCTCCAAAGAGGACATACAGGTGGCCAATAGTCATAAAAAGATGCTCAAAGTCACTAATCATCAGAGAAATGTAAATTAAAACCACAATGAGCTATCACCTCACACCTGTCAGAGTATCTATCATCAATAAATCAACAAACAAGTGTTGGCAACAGGTAGGGAAAAGGGAACCCCGTGCACTTTGGTGGGAATGCAGATTGGTGTAACCACAATGGAAAACAGTATAGAGGATCCTCAAAAAAAAAAAAAAAAAAAAAATTGAGCCCTGGCAAGGTGACTCTGTTGGATGGAACATCATCTGCACCAAAAGGTTACTGGTTTGATTGCCTGGTCAGGGCACATACCTCGGTTGTGGGTTAGATCTCCAGTCGGGGTACATACAGAAGGCAATCAATCAATGCTTCTCACATCGATGTGTGTGTGTGTGTGTGTGTGTGTGTCTCTCCCCTGCTCCCTCTCCCTCTCTCTCCCCGTCATTCTTCCTCTCTAAAATCAATAAGCATATCCTCTGGTGAGGATTAAAACAAAATTAAAATTAAAATTAAACTGCCTTATGACCCAGCAATTCAACTTCTGGATATATATCTGAAGAAACTCAAAACACTAATTTGAAAAAACATGCACCCCTATGGTCATCGCAGCATTAGCTGCAATAGCCAAGACACGGAAGCAACCTAAGTGCCTTTCAGTAGACGAGTGGATAAAGAAAACGTGTTACATATATACAATGGAATATTAGTTGGCCATAATAAAGAATTAAGTCTTTCCATTTGTGGCAGGATGGGTGGACCTAGAGAGTATTGTGCTAAATGAAATAAGCCAGAGAAAGACAAATACCGTATGATTTCATATATGTGTGGAATCTAAAGAACAAACAAAATAAAATTGAAGCAGACTCCCAGATGCAGAGAACAGACCAATGGTGGCCAGAGGGGAGGAGGTGGGGACCGGGTGAGAAAGCGCGAGGATTGAGAGGATGGGCAGTGGCAGCGCAGCCGCAGGACGCCAAGTCCAGCACAGGGAGCGCAGTCAGCAACACTGTCGTGACCGTGATGCCAGGCGGGCGCTGAAACCCCGGAGGAAACGCGTTGTAAAGGGTACGATTGTCTGTCTACGCTGTGAGGCTGAAATTAATGCAAAATAATACTGAACTTCAATTGTAAGTGAAAAAAATTTGAAGGCAAAAGAAGTCATATAGTTATATTTGGTGTGGGAGAATTGTTTTTCATAAGACTTGGGTAATCTCTACTGCTTTTTTTTTTTAATTACGACTTAGGACAGTGATTTGATACCTGTATCTGCACACATTATATGTGTATGTGTGCATACACACATCCTTTGTCCTGAGAATTGTAGGACAGAAATACCTTGTTCTCCTCGCCCCCCCGCCCCAAAAAATGAAATCAGATGAGCTTCCAGGAAACACACTGACCAAACACTTCCATGCGGGGTGTGCTCCCTGGAAGGAAGAGCCGCCCGCTGCTCAGCACTGCCCCGAGAGACCCGCCCGCGCAGCCGCGAGGCTGAGGAGGAAGGGCCCTGTAACGTGCCTGATAAAGACCCTTCACAGCTCCACGGTCCAGGCTTGTTGGGCCCTCGCAACCGTCCTGCGAGAGGGGCGTGGGGTGGTATCCGCATGATTCCAGTTGTCCTTCGTGGGAATCCAAAGCTCAGAGACCTGGAGTTGCTGGCCAGTGACCACAGCATCACTGAGTGGCAGATCTGGGACTTCAACCAGGGTTAATTAGTGACTGACTCTCCTGTGTTTTCTGTTATGTCGCGATTCTGCCAAGTAGAGGGCCTCCGGCAGAGGCTTGCGAGGAACGCCGTGGAAGGCGCACTGGGTCAGCTGAACTGCTTGCTATTTGGTTTGAGGGACCACAGGACTCCCCAGAATTTCTTACTGATCAGCCTGCTTCAATTGGCTGTTACCGCTTCATTTCTCCAAGGCAAGCTCTGGTCGCTCGCTCGTCGCTCTTCACACACAGATAAGGTGAGAGGAGAGGCGTGTTCACGCCAGAGCACCTGATGCGAGAGCACTGTCCCCTGATGGGAAGCTGGGCAAAAGGGGCCTCCTGCAGTGCATCCTGACTGGCTGACTCCTGGCTGCCCGGCTCTGCACTGGGCACAGGGCACGCAGAATGTGCTCCTGCACAGCCCTGCCCTTGGGCACCGCAGGGACGCATGGGGCAGGGGCAGGAGCCGGCTGTCCAGGCAGCTGGGGACAGACAACCCCAGGGAACGGTGTGGGCTGCAGGGAAGGGTGCAAGTCACAGAGGGAGCAAGGAATCATTGAGGCAGTGCGCCCTTGGACTGAAGAAAGGAGGTCTTGGCTTATTTCAGGATCTAGGAACGTCTGGCTGGATTTGGGGGTTCATGGAGAGTTTTAATGGCAGAAAGAGTTGGACAGATAAGATTCTGCGCACCAGGCTGAGAGCTTCTTCCTTAGCACTGTGGGCACGAAGGGGCTAATGCGGGGTTCAAACAGGGGGCATCAGAGTCAGATTTAGAGAACTTGCTCTGGCAGAGTTTGAGAGGAGGGAGGCAGAAAGCAAGACCAGTTGGTTATAAGGCAGATGTCAGTCCCGGTGAGGAATGTGGAAGGCGGGGCGCAGGCAGTGGGTGGGGAGTGGGCAGCGCGCCCTAGTCAGAGAAGCCTTTCTGAGGTAGAGTCTCGACTAGTGACTGAGTATCTTTGTGGTGTGAGGCAAAGAAAAAAGTCAAGAGTGACTCACAGGTTTTTATTTGAGATTTGTCTCCCTTATTAAGATTTGCAGTCCAAATGCTGAAGATTCTTAATGGCAAGTATAGACTGCAGTTTCAGCTCATTTGCCAAGTTTTGCCAGCTTGGGCTTTACAAGCTGGTAAACATTTCTGTCTCCCCCCCCCTTTTTTTTTTTCTTTGGCCGACATCTCCTTTCCTTTTTTATTTTTTTTAACTCATATTCTGAAATTATTACGGTGATTTTTGTACTTCAGGGCATTGATAAGAACCTGATACATATTAGACACTCAATAAATGAATTGTCAAAGAAATGAGATAACCCATCATCGTTGACCTACAAGGTCATATTGTTCACAGTAAAGTGGTGGCATAAGATGTAGCTTTGAGGATTCCAAAGCCCTTTATGCATCTGTGATAAAGTAAGGTTTGGTACTGGATGGGTAGAATACAGGATTCTGCAGAATTTGCAGTAAAATGTAGCCAGGCATCTATCACTCTACACTACATTCACTGACCACAGTGGTCCTACCTGGCCATTACAGCAGCAGCAGCTGCAGGAAGACGAGGTAGTCAGGCAGATCACAGTGGAACACTTGTGTTCCCATTCCTTTAAGCTTTGCCCCCGTGCAGTCTCCTGGTCTGGAGGTGGGGTGTGTTCTGCGGTTTACCCGGGGCCCAGGCTTGCACTTACTCCTCTGGACTAATCCAGCGCCCAGCCTGGAGCCTAAGCATCCACTGCATTAATCAGACTTGCTGGAGTGATCACATGGTTTTCTCGCTGCCTCCCCTGTGAGCTGCCGCTTGTCAGCAGCTGGCGGAGCTGGAGGCTGCAGGCCCCTGTCTGCAGAAAGCCTTTGACTTCAGAGTACTGGGCGGAGAACCCCGCCTCTTTTTCCTGCACTTTGCACCATCTGACTGACTAAATGGTTGTCCTCCGAACCAAAAAGGCTACCAGACAATCTGAGGAAATTGTCTCTGACTAGGTCATGTTCGCATTTGAAGAATTCAGGTATGTTCTGGCTTTTCCACATCAGCCTGCCGCTGGGTTTTTGTTCTCGCTAGGTTTTTGCTGTGTAATGACAGCTTAGGTTCTGGCTGGTTCTCGCACACAGAAAAGGGGTTCTTGTCTGCATTGGGCGGGGTCTTCCCGGGAGGTGGGTCGGAGGTGCAGCGACGGTGCAGGTCAGGGTGTTTGCTGCATGCACAGGTGCAGCGTGGATAATTGTTTGCTGGCGTGTACATTTGCCGAGGACCCCACCTCGTGCCTCATTTGAGCTTCTGCTGCAGGTGTAGAGTTATGAATACAGAATAGCAACTGTTCATCCAGAATGAGTCTCTCGCTATCTTTTGTTTTTCTTCCTTTGTCAAACTCATGGAGTCAACTGCTCTCTTAAAAAAAAAATGCTAATCTTAGCAGTGAAGGTGAAAAATTCTGCAAGCCTGTCTGCTTAGTTGAGATGTGATTTTGGCTCTAATTCTCCTCATCGATAGTAATGTCGTGGCTGGCGGGTTTCTGGGAAGTGCCCTGATAATGTCCTGTGAACAGGACCCTCCTTTGCTTTTGTGAGCCTTCCAGCTGCTGTAATCACTAATGCTCCAAACGGCGTCTTTTGTGAATCTCACTCCCTCGCTTTCCTCCATCTCTTCTCCGGGAAGGCGTGTGTGGCTGTGAATGTGCAAGAGCTGCTCCAGTACAGATAGTTGCTAAGAAATGAAAATAAAGGAGGGGGCTGAGAGGGCTGTCCGGTCATTCCTGTGCGTGTTCCCACGGCTGTGGAACATGTGGAAGCGAGTGTTCATGTGTCTGGTTCGGACCTCGGGCAGCTTCCCATTTCTCGCACGGCATTTCTGCATATGTTAGAACTGAGCATGGATACCTTGCTGATGGGCAAAGACTGTGTGGGAACCTCCGTTCTGTCTCTTACAAGCCCTTTTTGTTCCCTCCAAATGGTGCTGCAATCCATATAAAATGATCATAGAATAACCACTTTTCATTATTTGTAAGAGGAAACTAGAGGCCTTTTAATCAAAATCAAGGGAGTAGATGAGAGAATCATCAGATTTCCTGAAAGAAAAGCAGGGCTACACAGGTTGTCCCCGCCCTTTCTGTCAACTTGGGGCTTTGGGCCCAGGAAGTTATCCTTTGTTTAAGAGTGTGTCCCTGCATTATTTCTAATGGACTGGGCTTGTGAAAAGGACGTTCTTTTCATGTGGCAACATGCTCGAGTGATATGGGGACTGTGCCCTTACATGGGGACCAGAAGTTACTGTTTTATAACAGCTCCATTAATAACTCACAAGAATTTATTTAATGCTTGACGTTGCAGTAGATCAGTCCTTAGAGAATGAAACAGGATTCCTGGGTCCTAATCCCAGTTTCAGAATCAGCTCTTCTGATCTTGAGAGAGTGATGGAAGAGTTTTGTGAATTGTAGAAAGTAGTGTCCCTGTAGGGTTCATATTTTGTTGTGAGCATTTATTATAGGTGGAGTAAGCCTTAACTGCTGCCCGGAACAGAGCTTGGAGCCTTTCTCCGCATTTCCAAGTTTGGGAAGGGACATGAACCCACAAAACCAGCCTGTGGCGCTGGTCTCCTAGCCCAGGAGCTGGGCCTAGTGAGGCGGACTGGTCCAGGGGAAGGCCGCCGCATGCTGGCCGGGGAAAGTGCGGTCCTCTCAGGAAAGTAAGCCAGAGCGGCGAGCCCCTCACCCCTGCTCCAGGCTCCTGCTGAGCTGGTCCTCATGCTCTCGGCTGGGTGCGACTGCCACACGGTACCAGGCAAATGGCTTTCTTCTTTCATCACAGGCTTTGCGTGTGTGGAGCTGGGTGGTTGCAGTGGGTTAACACCAGCGTAACGGAAGAGCTTAGCTTTTCAGCTGAGGTCAGAGTGGCTCTCAGGCTGTGACGTGCAGGAGGGTCACGTGCAGGAGGGCTCTGAAAACTCGGGCTGCTGCGCCCCTCCAAGAGGTGCAGATCCAGTAAGGAGGTCTGGGGTGGGGCTTGAAACCCGCAGGTGTGACGCCTTCCCAGGTGATTCTGATGCTGCAGGTCTGGGAAACAGATCTTGAGAGCCGTCAGCTTGAGAGAAGCAGACAGATTGTCACTGAGATGGGAAGTCTTCTGGGGCAGAGGCAGAGGGGGGTTTGGGTAGAAAAAGGTCAGGAGCCAGAGCAGCACACGGGCCGGTGGGCCAGCACCAGCATGCTCGTGGGGCGGGCGCGCTGACTGTGGCCGCAGCGGTCACAGCAGCCCCCACCTCCTGCGAGGCCTTAGAGCGGTGGAGGGGAGTTGGGGGTGAGTGTCTTAGGGCGTCTTGGCTTGTTAGCCTGGTTCTGCCGTCTACTGTCTCCTGAGCTTTCTTTGCCTCCATTTTCCCAGCTGGAACATGAGGATAGCAATTCTTGCCATGCAAATCTATGATACTGTCAGAATTAAATGAGAACATAAATGTACTTGATAAAGTACAGCACTCTTTCAGCGTGAGCAGAAGGGAGCAAAGGGCGTCCGGGGTGGCTCTGTCCTCTTACCCACACGTATTTATGGGCCTCCATGCACACGTCTCAACCCCAAGAGCACAGGGCCGCCTTCACTTCTAAAAGGAAGTCTAGTTTGACACGGACATGGATATGGGCCATTAGTCCCTATTGGAACGCAAGTTCTGGAGAAGTTTAATGAGTCCTCCTGTGTTGTCCACTTTGTGTACTTCGTGCCTAAAACTGCTCCACACGCAGTAAGCCTTGCTCAGCAGTGGACCCAGTTCGTTTTCAGGAGGATTGAACAAGGACGGAAAAGCACACAGCGGTCCGGCCGGCTCGGTGCGGGCCTGACAAAGGTGCCGTGGCGACCGCTCGGGGTGCCGGCTCAGAGGAGCATGTCAAAGAGTCGACAGCTGACCTCCTGGGAAAGAGGCCAGGTGTCCTCCGCACGCCCCAGGTGCTGGAGTGCCAGAGAGTTCCGGCCACATTTCATAAGGCGCCTCCGCAGGTGACCTCACTCCAGAAGTTCTGCTGTGGTAACGCTGCGCTGAGGCCCAGGGCCCCAGCCTGGAGAGCTGCGGCTCCGGAAGCGCGGGAGGTCGGGCCTGCGCTTCCCAGCCCATAGGGAAGTCCGGCCTGCCGTGGCCGCAAGTCTGTATCGGCCTAACACCAGGCGAGCTGTCGTAGCTGGCTGTTGTGGTAGATATGCTCTACTCATGCTTTTGCCTTTTGAAAAAAAATTTAAAAACTTCTTTGGTGAGGAGTGTACTGAAATAACAGTTTAAGTAAACATTGACCTGTTACTCTCCACTGCAGAGACTGTCACCTGAGACTGTCACTGGAGACAGCTCTGTGGGATTCCGGAGTCCTCCTCCCACCTAGGGACTGGAACAGGACCACAGGCCCCTCCCACCTCCAGAAGGGAGAGTTTTAAATGTAATTTTTGGCTCCATGATCCCTCAAGTGAGAATGGAACCCAAATTAGAAACAACCGTTTCTCAAAATTCCTGGTACTTTTTCCTGCTTACTTTCAGACGGACTGTGGTGTACCACCTCCGGGATCGGAAATCCAGTCAGAATGCGTCAAATCACATGAAAATGGGAAGTTACTACTTTGAATCTGTTTTGTTTCGATTATTTTTTTTTAAACACTATAGACAAGTTGAGGTTCAAACTCTTACTATCTCTGTTTTTAGTACTTCAAATATATATCTGGTTTTCAGAAATGTTATACCTTTTCTTTGCCCTTTGACTGGAAGGTTGAAACAAGTGAAAGTGAGTGGAATCAGGAACCACCTGAAGTTTGCAGCCAGGAAAACCCACGCAGGTGTCAAGTGCCAGCTTCATCCCTCTCATTCCCCAGGGTCCTATAAGACCTTAAAGGACAGGTATTTAGGTCCAGTGATGTTCCCCTCTGTGGTGTGGAAGGACAGCTCGGATCAGCAGGACATGGAGACTGGGCTGGGCCGGAAGGGGGAGGCCCAGAGCTTCATCACTGAATGCCTACTGTGTACCGGGCGCTGCTAGTTGCTTTGCCTGTGCTAACATTAACCCACATAGCATCTTAGGAATGAAAACAGAGGCTCAGGGACACAGACGATTCCCACGTGTCTACCTCTGCCCAGACCTACCCCAGGAGCACCTGGTCCAAGGAAGTGGGCAGAGGGTGGAGAGTTGAAGGAGAAAGAAATAGAACAGGCGACCAGGAAGGACAGACAGATTTCACGGACTTGACAGTTCCGCTTTGTGTTGTCTGACAAGCCACAAGCAAAATGTTATTTTGGGAAACGTAATTTAGCTGTTAGAATGACAAAGCAGATATATTTAAAAGAACCCTCCATTATTAAATAAGTGTTATAATTATTGTTGACTGTTACTCAAATAGAGGCATTGTTGGGGATCAGAGCCCAAAGATTTGACTTCACTTTGTAAAGTATAAACTTAAAAGCTGTGATGTTTTTTCTCTAGGTTATAGTTTCTTCAGTTACAGGAAAGGGCTATTTTGAGCATAACATGTAAGAAAGAAGTGTATAAATTAAAAATTTTGCTATAATGTTTGTATTTCTATTTTGGGATCAGTGGAAGCTTCATCAGTTAACGTTTAACCCATTCAGTCTTGTCCCCATTCCCCACACCCTTTGCATAAAAGCACAGCAGTTATCTCGTGTGTTAAAAACAATGAGTCCGGTGAAAACCAAGAAAGGCTTTAACTGGGCTCAGTTAGAGGAATGCATCTGGAACAGGACACAGCATCTGTATGACATTTGCTAGCCACTTAGGATAGTTGCAGAGGTCCCGCCAACTGTGTAGGTTCTGAAGACTCTGTGTATGTCTTTTTGGAGGTGGGAGGGCCTTTTTGCTAGTAGCAAACCATTCATTCAAAAAATACACTTTCTGAACACCTACTAAATATAAGCCATAAAAGAAAATGCAAATATGTTAACCCTTAGCCCTGCCTTCAGGAATTTGCTGTCCTGAGAAGGTGCGGCCCGGGGTAGCCATGACGCAAGGAGCACAGGAGCAGCGGTTCCGCT